ACCTTCTCAGGAAGAGCCATCAAAGACATTATCATTCATTGTCCTTTTCAGAAGTTCACTAGAACCTTCTCCTGGAAAGACAACCTGTTTCAGTTTCTGGACTACATCAGAGAATGTCCATCTTCTCAGATTAATGATAAAGCTTTGATCTAAGCACGGCTAAGAGACATTAAGATCCACACCTAGGAGAAAAGACATGAAAAGGACCAGAGGAGAAGACTAGTAGTCTTTAATTGTCATCGCTTCATTATCAACTTTGTCATCATCATCAGCACCATCATCATCACTCTGTTCCTGAAGAAGAGGAAGGCTGGACAAAATCATCTCTGGTGTACTTAACATCATCACTATCAAACACCATTTTGGACAATGTTGTAATCAACTTTTTGTCATCATCTAGAGCAGCATGCACATGGTCCATGAGAGGTGGACAAAGCCAGAGCACTTTAGCTTTTAATCATACTTTAAACTACCAACCAGCTTGTCAGTATTAAGGCTGTGTATGAACTTTTCACATGGACCTTCACCGAGAATCGTTCAGAAGCCATCCTGGCCTGCGTACTAGACTATTGGTTGTAGTGCAGTTTCTGTTTTTTGTCTATAACTGACAGTTTGACATCTATACCAAGACATTGATATCATTGTCATCATTTCTTTTACATGAAACAAAGATAACATAATTAATACTGGACAATCACAAAAGATTCTAATAATCTTGAATAATCTTTTCCTTAAATACTTTTCTATGTAATACTCTGTAAATTGGTCTCTGTTACTGTATTTATTACAACCTTGTTCATATTTTACAGTAACTAATAATTTTCCAATTGCAAAGTAATAATTTTGTCTTTTTTCTGTTTTCACATGCTGTATTTCTTATTATTAGTGAGGACTGCACTCAAGATGGTTGTTCACTTTAGTGTGATTTATGTTTTAAATTTTATAATATTCTCAACATTCAAATAATATTATTTAGGCAAGTGTGTATTTTCATCCTGATTGCTTCCTCATGAGCGATAACTACTTTTAGATATTAATTTATAAGTAACTTCAGAATGTACAAATGGATCTATTTTATTTAATTTAAATGTGAATAAAAGAATAATTGTGAAGAAAATGAAATACTTCATTATGTGTTCAGTTGTGTAATTGTTTTTGTCAGTTTCTTTCGTCTTACATCATTAGCTGGGATTGATGTATGTTTTGACCTACAGATATGTATTTATGCATAACTTACAAATAGATAGGTGAGACACGTCTACATAAATTATAGGCATTCACACACAAACACAATTATAATTTTCATTGATAAGAAAATGAAATATTGTTTTTTCCACAATGTCCACAGCTATTCTCTCTTGCATTTATCATTGTGTCTTTCATCGCCCAAGTGGTTTCATAAGTAGTTTGCACTGAATCACTCATAGAAAACATACTGATTGTTTCATTACAGTTTATTATCAGGACTTTCTGGTTGTGATGGTTTTGTGTGTTCACAAATACAGTAATATAACATCCATAACCTTCACTGAAGGTGCCAAACTCAAGACAATTCAAGTTTGGAAAGCCTAAAAGTTGCAAATAACTTCCAACAGAGTGCACACAGCTAATGTAGCTAAATGAATCATATTCTCATACAAGCAAACACATATTCCTTTTTTTCAATATCAAAAAGAACGTGTGTTACAAATGTTGACACTGCACAGAATCTAAAAACAGTTTCATCCATATCTCACTCCATAGGAGAGGAAAGTACTGTATTAACGAATGTCACAGACATTTTACACTGACGAGTTCAGATTTAAACTTTAAACAGAAACGATTCTTACACAGTGAGAGAAAGAAGAGCAACAGCCTTCACTGACTGAAAGCAGATTTCAAACAACCTGTAAAATGCAGCGACTATAAACCCAATATGAGTTTAGTTTTTCCATTTAAACAAAGGACAAAGAATATGATGAAGTTTTTAAAGATTCCCAAAATGGAAACATTTCCTCATGTTTTCATACAATGAAAGTAAAATCAGAGGAATTACATTCCTACAAACTTAGGAAACTTAGTGGATGTCAGTCTCAGAGTGACATGTTGAAGTGAGTATGTAATGGTAAAGGGTCCACAGGGCTCTAGCAGGGTCTCCAGAGTACAGTAGGGGCTGGAGTTTTCACTTTGCTGCTGATGTGGCAGACTGGAGAGCTGAGTTGCAAGACACTTGTGCTTTTCTCCATGGAAGGCTGCATGGTGAGGAAGTGGCTCAGCAGTCTTCTCTGGGATGGAGTCTGCACTCCACACTGAGACAGGAAGATGACGGCCTCCTGCACACACCTGTTGTAGGCGTCACGGCTGCAGTGGAGCAGACAGAGTTGTGGGACTGCTGCTGCTGCTTCTGTTTCTGCTGCTGGTGTGTTAGGAAATGAACTGTCATCTTCAGGAATTCTCAGCCCAGGAAAGAATTTAGCTTCTCAATGCTGCTGTTGATGCGTTCTCTATGAATCTTCTCCACTATTGGCTTCCTCAGCTAGAGAGAGAGAAAAGAAATATTTGTTAATTACACTGATCAACCTTCTCTGTTTTAGTGCAGGTAGAATATAGAATTGAAGTGCATGAGATATATAGGTGAGTATATTTACCTTGTTTGTAAGTGGAAGATGCTGTTTGGAGGAGATGAGAGCTGCAGTGATTGTAGGAGTCATGGCTGTGAGTCTTCTGTTGAGCTCTCTGTGAGGAGAAGATGTGAGCTGTGCTGAGTTCTCTCTCTCTCTCCCTCCTCTATTTATACTCTCCAATCTCCATATGAATGTGTGAGGTTTGGCTTTGCTGGAGGTTCTCACAGTCTGCAGCCAATGGGGGAGCTTGAATGACACTAAAGAACAGAGGACTGCCACATGCTCAATGAAGTGTGTATTACTCAGGAAACAATGAGCGCAGCTCTGGACAGCAGGTGGAAGGGTGTGTGCTGGGGGCAGAGAATGTGTGGGAAAGTAGAGATACCACCTCTAGGTAGCCTGATATTCAGAATCACTCTGTGACAAAATGCACAGTACACATGTTTGCTTTCTCATCGGAATACACTGTACATTTTATCCTTCGGCCTTTTTTTATCATGCTATTAATTTGTCAGAATTGTTCACTGTGGTGGTCTCTAAAAGCTACCTCACATTATTATTACAAGAAATGAAAAAAATATATATATTACATGAAACATGAATGTGTTTCCAGATGCATAGAACAAAGTTGACTGATATTGACCTAAAGTGCATTTTTAAAAAATCCAGTCATGGTATAGAGGTGTATGCAGGAAGTTGTAAGGAAAAATAGTCTTAACTTTCTAGCTTTACCACATTTTACTATTAACAACATATAAAAACATATAGAAACATGTAGGTTCACTGGTTGTTTTCATAAATAAACTGGTCTGTATGTGCCTTGTAGACATGTTGACCAGTGGTTCCTATCATCATCATTGTAAAGAAATTCAAAGCAGTACGTTTATGTAATTATTATAATTATATAATTAATCTTTTTTTTTTTAAACAATTTGAATGACCTTGCATCTCAGTGATAGATTAATGTAGCAATTAAAAAAAATTGGTGGAACTGTTCCTTTGAGTAACTATCTTGCATTCTTTTGCCGTACATGTACAATGAAAGTAATATGTAAGCTATGTAGTTACGAGAGTGAGGAGTTGGGCCCACATATTAATACTTAGTGTTTAAGAGGTTAAATAAATTTTGACAAATTAAGACACAAAACATGTTTGTATCAGTCATGAACAGTGACAGATTATTCATATTAATACTGAAGAAAGTTGTATGCTGACATGAATTCCAACACACTACAGATGTCCATCAATAGCAGCACTTGAATGAGCCCTCGCTGACCACAGGAGTGAGTGAGCAATAGAGGAGTGTGAGTGCTCTCTCCAGAGCTTTCCCACACTCTCCTCATTCACACACAGCATAATAGAAGTGTGTCTCATTACATGCAGTTCAGCATATGGCCAAGAACTCAATAGAGACCCCCAAAATCAGGAAGCTTATATAAATCAATCTACCTTGCTTAATATTCTAATATTTTTATTAATATGTCAACAACAATAGAAACTACCGAACTAAAATAGAAAACAAAGCTATGTAGAATGGCAAGCATGCTGAAGAGCGTTCAAACATAACCTGTCCCCATAAACTTATACTTAACAAGCCTATTTTTCCAGCTCCTACATTTTGTTTTGCATATCAAAAAATCTTAACAAGAGTTGTTTTTAAAAAAACAGCAACATTATATGACATTTTCAGTTGGTAACTGTTTTCAGTTGTTTTGATTAAACACAAAATGACTAAACAAGCAATATTGTCAGTGTTCTATGTAGTGTTTGCTCAATTAGGAGGCATTTGTAATAATGCCAGTTATTGTTAAACCACATCTTTGTTGATCCCTGTGCCTGAAGAGTGTGTGAAAGCCATAGAGAGCATTGAGAACTCTAGCATTAGCTAGAAATATAGTCATAAGAAAAGCTACAATAACCCTCAACCTAGTACTAATATTTCAAAATTTCTATATTTCAAAATTTCTAACATGTTTGTGAACTTTCAGTCTTGTTGTCCTGCCAAATTCCAATTTACTATTTAGAGGGATATTTTAAAAAAATGTTTCTAGATCTATGACATACTACACTGCTTGATGTACTATGTGAGCGGCACGTGCTGTTTCACCAATTAACCCCAAAATGTTGAGGGACAGAGCTTGAGGTCTCCACTTTCTCACACACTTCTCTTTCTCACACACGCCTCCACCTGGTGTCCAGAGCTGCACTCATTGTTTCCTGAGTAATACACACTTCATTGAGCATGTGGCAGTACTCTGTTCTTTAGTTTCATTCAAGCTCCCCCATTGGCTGCAGACTGTGAGAACCTCCAGCAAAGCCAGGCCTCACACATTCATATGGAGATTGGAGAGTATAAATAGAGGAGGGAGAGAGAGAGAGAACTCAGCACAGCTCACATCTTCTCCTCACAGAGAGCTCAACAGAAGACTCACAGCCATGACTCCTACAATCACTGCCGCTCTCATCTCCTCCAAACAGCATCTTCCACTTACAAACAAGGTAAATATACTAACCTGTATATCTCATGCACTTCAATTCTATATTCTACCTGCACTAAAACAGAGAAGGTTGATCAGTGTAATTAACAAATATTTCTTTTCTCTCTCTCTAGCTGAGGAAGCCAATAGTGGAGAAGATGCGTAGAGAACGCATCAACAGCAGCATTGAGAAGCTCAAGTCTCTCCTGGGCCAAGAATTCCTGAAGCAGCAGCCTGATTCCAGACAGGAGAAAGCCGACATCCTGGAGATGACAGTTCATTTCCTGACACAGCAACAGCAGAAGCAGCAGCCCCACAACGCTGTCTGCTCCACTGCAGCCAGTGAAGGCTACAGCAGGTGTGTGCAGGAGGCCGTCAGCTTCCTGTCTCAGTGTAGAGTGCAGACTCCATCCCAGAGAAGACTGCTGAGCCACTTCCTCACCATGCAGCCTTCCATGGAGAAAAGCACAAGCGCCCTTCAGATCAGCTCTCCAGCCTGCCACACCAGCAGCAAAGTGGACACTCCAGCCCCTACTGCACTCTGGAGACCCTGGTAGAGCCACCAAGACCATACGCCTGACAGTTTATGTCATGGACAGTTCAACAGTCTAACTGTTATCACTGTTAACCAAGTGTATTGGTTTATCTTTATTCAGACTGCTGTCTGTGTTCCCAGTTGGGAAGTTTCATGAAATTCAAAGGATTCCTGCCATGAGCAGATCATAGTAGCTCTTATCAGAGCTTTGTAACTGTCTACTTGTTTAGTAGGATGATGCGTCTGCTTTGTAACAATTGTACATTGTTGAATTATGTCTCATATTGAGATTCATTGTGTTTTTGTTTCTATGGAACCACCATTATAGATCCATTGGATCTCATATGTTGAATTATTTTCTTGCTTGAAACACTTATATGTTTCCTATAGAGCCTTTTTATCATATTGATAAAGATGTATATGTGTTCTTTATTTTTTAGAGGTGGAACGTTTTTGTCTCTAAACTACATTGGTTTTCTCATCACTTTACTCAAAGTGGTACCTATAAAGATGCTGAGCATCCACATCATTAAAAATCATTCTTATGTGAAATATAGCACTCGTGTCTGTCATATTTTTATATCATATGCATCACCGGTTAAAACACCTCAACAGGGAGTATGATAGCTCCTGTTTAGAGAATATGATGTGCATACATACTGTATGTTATTTTCTAAGTGAAAATATGGCACAGACCTAAAATTGGTATGCATTTTCTATTGATAGTGTATACTTATTTCATTTATATTAATACATATTGGGAAAAAATAAAAAATTCACTATAAAATGTGCCATAACTTTTGCACAGGACACATTTTATGTTGTATTTTTTCCCAATATAATAACAGTAACTTTGCTTTACAATGTGTGTTCTTTGTAGAGAATGTGTGCTTGGTTTCACTAAGAACATTCGACCAGGGCACCAAACTTTTGCAGACGACTGCATATTTTAGTGAGTGTTGTTTGTAGCACTCAAAGCCTGCATTTGCATCAGACACTGGATCACCTGTTTTTACTGTTAATATTTTGAGTAATTAGTAACAATGTTACTTAGGAATTAAGACTACACTACTAATAATCAGTTTTACTGGACTGTACAGTATCAGGATGTGCACATATATGTTCATATATATATATATATATATATATATATATATATATATAGAGAGAGAGAGAGAGAGAGAGAGAGAGAGAGAGAGAGGTTACACAAATATATTAGATTTCCTGGCAAAATAGCAAAATATTGAGAAACTTTGCCATAATACAAATACATAACATGCCATAGTAAAGTATTACACTTGTGCTGGTTCTATAAATTCTTCACGTCATATGAAATCTTGGGAAAGTCTTGGGAGCACATCAGCCCTTAAGGTCCAGATGGTCCTGCTATGTGTAAGGTCTCCCCCTTGAACAAAGGGAGATCAAACACCATGGCTAATGTGATGTGTAACAAGACACACTTCTTTTGTCCCTTTATTGAGGGCAGTGAATGAATGGACTGTGGGAAAGGGAAGATAGCCCTCTCACACAGAATGCATGGGAATCTCACCACAACCCTGCCTCTGCAAGAGTGATTCACATACTACAGAGCTACAGGTGGTTCAACAAGCAGCATACATGCACATGCATAGAATTTGCAAACAAAAATAAAGTAGGTTTTAAGATAAAACTGTTCTTTGCAAACTCAAACACAGTAAGTGTGTAGCCAGTACAGTGAATTGTTCAGCAAGATAACAAAAGTGCCCACGTATAATGCCAAAATAACGTAATAATGATTTATTTTTTGGGCAACTCCTGAACCTGAACAGCATTTCTGTTTTTTACTAGACAATAAACCAGTTATCATTTCTAATAAGCCATTCAGATCACTAGCTTGCTTTTTGGGTTTATTTAGCCTTGACCACACACAGGGTGGTGGGAACTTGGGTAAAACTCTTAGGCGTGTCATGGCCATGTGGCCTTGGCAGGCGAAAGCCAACACATGCCCACCTGTTGTCTGTGCATTTACATTTGGCCTTGGGGTTCTGCTGTAGACAAACACAAAAGCCATGAGAGCATCAATGTCAATGCACTATAGTTGATAGAGAGTTCAGCTGATTTGGAAAATCCAAATACATTCATTCATACGTGCTCTTTATCTGAGAATATCATATGGCTCTTATATTGTTAAAATAATTGTCATTATTGAACATTTGTTGAAGAGTGGCTTACACTTCATATAACAAGTGTGAAATGCCCCCCATTTCATTTTCTCACTTCATTGTCTGAGGAATTAGGCACTTTGATTCACAGGCACTCCACGGCAGTGGACAGCAGGTTTGGTACTTTCTCACACTCGACCAGCCAACCAGACTGCCTCTTTTTTGAGACAATAGGAGGCATCAGTCATGCTTGTGCTCGTCTTAAGAATGGAGGCTGTGTGTCTGGGGTCGGGTGAGGAGTGTGGGAGACACATGCACAAACTGGGCAGCAAAAAAGCAGGGCAGTACAGCTAACCCCACCCCACCCATCTCCAAACACGAGGCTGCTGTTGAGGCGTCATCAAATTCAGCTACTTTCTGAGGCTGTATATAGACAGGCCTGTTTCAGAACATTGGATAAATTAGTATGCTGTCCTCCTGACATAGCCAGGAGTCTTAGTAGTTGGCAGAGGTGGGCAATAACGCTACATTTACACAGTTCCGTGTACTTAACTAAATAAAAACTTACTTTGCTACTTACTTTTTTTAACCAAGGGAAAATATATATTTCACAGAAGTAAGAATACTTTTACTTTGTATTGAAAGAATACTTTTACTTCTGCATTGAGCTTAGGCTGCTCTATCCACCTCTGATCGTAGGCTACTTGGAATGTAAGAAGAAAATCTTAAAATTGTTAATCGTTTACCACAGGACTTTTAATGTGAAAAAATGTCTGTATTGAAAATTGACGACGCACAAAGACGGTGTCATGTTACCATGGTTACCGTCAGCATACGCTCACAGCGATTTTAATGACTTAAGCGTAAAAAATATTCGTCTTTTCTTTCTTTCTTTCTTAATTTTCCATGTCTGTTAAAGTCGAGTCCTGGTGTATGTATCTGTCTTTTTCTGGCTACATAAAGCCTTTCTGTCTGTCCTCTCGCGAGAGTGTGAACTATTTATTGAACTGTTTATTGAGAGCGAGTTCAGCCGAAGTGGCCTGTTGGAGCTCTCCACAGCTGTGCACGCGCGCTCTCACGCTTTCCCCCGTGTGCCACAGTCATATTTTAATCTGACTGACCGTCAGATCCGGACTGGCCACGTGGACGTGACAGCTTTGTCAGTTTTCAGTGTGAGGCTAACGGCGCTAACGGGCGGCGTGTCTGCAGTTGTGCTTAGCGGCGCTTTGATGTGCACGCGCTTTAACCACGTGCCATTAACGCACCTCTGTGTTAGTCACGCTCCTCTAAGGTAGCAGTGAGACACACGGCAGACGATAAAATGACAACAAAGGTGACAGTTTGGTCTAACAGTAATGGGGGAGGGGGAGATAGTAGCCGGCTACATTTATTTATTTACACACGACGTTACTTAGAATACGTAATACTTTTACTTATTCTTACAGGAGAATTCCACCGAGTTTTAAAAACTTTCTTTACAGTGGTGGTGATAGAAACCAGGGGTCACAATGTCCATAACACAGATATAGGCCTTTTATTTCTTATCCAAAATGACCAGTGAGCCTGCAGTTTTTATATGAAATGTTGATAATGGTAAGAAAATATTAATAAGAGGAAGATTTTTTTTTCTTTTTGTACTGTTTTGCCCCACAACATCCTACATGTACCTCTCCGACAATAATGTGATTTGGTCATTTGGTCATTTTAGACCAAAACCTTATTGTAAAACCACCAAAAAACAACGCCCATTTTATGTCATAACTTTTGTGAAGGAGCTTTTTTAAAAAACATTAAACACACCGGACGTCTGGTTCCTATCACCACCACTGTGAACAGTGCTGATTTGATTTCTCTAGAATGGAGTATTTCATACCAAACTACTCTGAATGACTTTGCTTATATCTCAGCAATTAAATTATATGAATATTTTAAATTGATGGAATTCCTTTTTAAGCTACTTGTAAGGGAAGCACTACTTTTTAGTCTGTTTCATTTCAGTCATTCAGATTGAGTTCCTAATCCTTTTTTGCACCTAATTTCATTCGGTTGGTGAAAACACTTGGGCTGTTTTGCTGTTGCTTACATCTCTCACATTTGAGCTTAGACATTTTTAGTAAATATCACAATTGTTTTAGAACAATTTATTTAGAACAATTCCTGCGCACATAATCACTGGCCTTATAGGTATCTCACTGGCTACTTGGGTAGTTTTTTTGGACTCATATGAAGTTGGGAGGTGGTTAAAGAGAGCAGTTAGAGTCAACAGTTAACCCTGGGAGCATTTCAGCAGCTCTTGTACACAACACATCTTTATTTATACCGTTAGGCCTGTGGTGTATATGGCTGCTAGAAACCCAAGAGGCTTCACAAAATTATCGTATAATGTAAACCAGACAAACAACTGCTGGCCCTGAAAGTCATCCAGTGCGTACGAGAAAGTTCTCAGATAATAAAAGTGGCATGCCTCTGATACCTTGGGAAACTTTCTCCTAACAGAAGACATGCAGCCAGTTAACCATAAAATGAATGGCCTCTATTGTTGTAATGAGCCGGCCCTCTGGTCTCAGAGTGTGGGAAAAGCAATCCAGCACAAGCCACATGACTTTGTAATGGAAATGCCTGGCTATAAATACAGCAGGCTGTCCCTCTCAGGGTCCCACAACTTATTCTGCAGCCCAAGAGAAACAAATTCCAAGATAAATAAGATGGCTCCACACTCAGCTACTCTCTCCACCTTTGACCACCTGAGATTCAGCGATAAGGACAGATTAAAGGTATGTTTCCCTCTCTTTTTTTAAAAGCTTTTAAGTTTTTATTTTTCTTAATTTTACAACATGTTTGAATAATGAATGTTCTAACCAAATGCTTTCAATCTACCTTAGCTGAGAAAGCCAATTGTTGAGAAGATGCGCAGGGACCGCATCAACAGCTGCATCGACCAGCTCAAGAAGCTGCTGGAGAAGGAGCTCCACAGCCAAGACCCCAGCACCAAGCTGGAGAAAGCCGACATCCTGGAGATGACTGTCAGCTTCTTGAAACAGCAGCAGAGGCTGCCGGCCGTGCTGGCCCAGAGGGACTATAACGAAGGCTACTCGCACTGCTGGAGGGAGTCTCTGCACTTCCTTAACGTCCATTCAAGCAGAGGACGACCAGCCCAGGAACTCCAGCAGCTCCACCAAGCTCAGAGGGCCAGCACAGAGCTCAGCTGCAGCCCACCTTCACCCAGCACCAGCTCTACCTCCAGCTCCAAGCACAGTCTAACCGCTCAGCAGCAGCTGCAGCCTGGCAGGCCTGTCTGGAGGCCCTGGTAAAGAACTGAAAGAAAGACTGTTGAAACCTGAGGAACAGTGATGTTCATGTGCCTCACTAAAGTAGGAAATATTCATTCCAGAATTTAAGATTGACATGTTTTGTCATCATATTGATTGGCAAAAGCTTGACATGAACATTTGTGGGCAGTTTTTTTGCCAGTGAGAAGAAAGGCTTTAATAATAACTCTGGCCTTATTAGTTCTGTAATAATGGCTCTTAATGGGATATTGAACACGTATCATTTTTCTAATGTTTTTAACTTCTGTTAGAGCAAATGGTTTGTACTGTGTGATGTCTGTATAAATGGCTAATGTTGACTCCAGTGGAGTATTTATGGTATACAAATCAGATCTATGAATTTGTGTTGTATTTACAAGTGTTGCAGAGAAGATTTCTCTGTTTGTGTTGAGAATTCAGCACAGTATATTCAGTATGGATTGAGGTAACCTTTGATAAAGGCACCAGTCCATTATGTGAGCGTGCATATGGTACTTAATGTATTTTGTGTTTTGATGTGATTGATTTTGTAAAACCAAGCTCTTGAACACTTTCTTGTCTAATAAATTTTATTTTTCAAATAACGTTTTGCTTGATGTCTTTTCTCTGAGACTTGTTGCCCATTTATGAAAAAAAAGAAAAAATTATTTGTAGTTTTATAATGGGATGGATGAAATTACGATATTTTATTGTATCATGAACAAATATGTCACAATATAGTTTCTGAGCACATTGTAAATATCTTGTGAATATAATTAGTGCTTAAAAAACACAGTCCAACTTCATGTTCCATTGCAAACAGAGCATGTCCTGTTTAACTAGACATACTGTACTTGTGAACAAAAATCATTGTACTCACAGTTTTTGATATCAAAAGCTACTTTTTTTTTGTTACAATTTATCAAACCTCAGCAAAAACAAAATATGATAAATATTGTGTATTATGAACATGTGGCCCACCCCTATTTTGTAAGATCCAAATTTTACTTTTATAGACATCAACATTGCATCTTCAAAATGGCCTTTATAGATAATTCTATATAATTAAATTGATAAGATGTAAACAAAGTCATTCAGTGATTTGATGTTCTGTTCTGGAGAAACTTGCTGACTCAGCATTGTTCACAGTGGTGGTGATATGAACCACATGTCCAATGTTTAATGCCTCTAAAGACTCCCTCAAAGAGAGTTATTACTTAAAATGGTTACAAATAAGTATGTTATCATGTGTGTTATGATAGTTTTGAACAGTTTCAGCCTTAAGTAGAGATAGACGATATGGAAAAAATCTACTATCACAATACATCATGAAGTTTTCACAATACATGATGTCACGTTTTTTTTTTTTTTGACATTCATAAATTGGAAAAGACAAAACAGTACCATGTTTAAAAAAATACTATCAAAAAATATTAATACAATGATTTATATTCAATATTTCACATACTATGCTGCACTAAATCCAATAAAACAGGACTAATTATGCTCTCTTAATATTGCAATATTCACAATACGATCAGAAAAGCATATTTTGGCATACTGTGATGTAATTTATCACAAGAATGATAAATATGGTCATATTGCCCAGCCCTAGCCTCAAGCATATATTATTAAATACACGCATGGTGAGAGGTACATGCAGAGCATTGCAAGGCAAAAGAGACATCATCAGAAGACATCATCAGAAGACATGTGTAGGACCAGTGGTAATTTTGGACAGTAAATGAAATGGTTATACTTGCACTGCAGACATTTTAACCCCTAGTTGCCAGTAAGTGTCTCTACAGCTAACCATTTCACATTGAACTACTCTGAATGACTTTGTTTACATCTCAGTAGTTGAATAATAATAAAAAAGATGGAATTTCTATTTGAGGCATTCACAAAATACCTCTTTACTATTCTGTAAATATTTGTCATGTGCACTAAAACAGGCACTCGTGAGCACAGATGTTGTCTTGCAAAACGCCTCTTAAATGCAGTCATTGAGCCTCTCGTCTACAGGCACACTTCTATTGTTCTAGCCCCCTGAGAGTGTTACACACTGAAAAGAAGAGTAGTGTGGGAAACACACCCAGTCAGCCTACTCACACACTCCAGAGTCAATGGAGATGACCTCTTCTATGACAAAGAGCCTTTTATCCTGTCTTTGGCCCCCAGGCACTGTGTGTGTGTCTGTGTGTGTAAGTGTGCGTGTGTGTGTGTAAGTGTGTGTGTGTGTAAGTGTGTGTGCGTGTGAGTGTGTGTGCGTGTGAGTGTGTGTGCACTAAGAACTGTAGTAAGTGACTAATGGAGATGGACATAATGAATCTGACTGTATGATCACACTGATGAGCTGAGGAAACATCATTTCAGAGTTTACTGTGTGTGCACTGCAAAAAGCAAAGTCTTAGCAATTGTGATATTGCGTCAATAGTTAAGAAATGAAGTGATTTTTTCCCCTTAAAAAAGTTTACACCTCATATTGTCTAACTTCAAGGATTTTGAGATGGTATTTAAAAGTCTTTGTGGTACTTAATTAGCACAGCAAAAAAGCCACTTAGCAAAACTAGAAAAAAAGAGGTACAAATGTGGTAAGTAAAATGTTCTGCTTATAAAAATGATATATAATTAATCATACATACATATATATATCATCTAAACCGCTTATCCTTCTGGGTCGCGGTGGGGTGCTGGAGCCTATCCCAGCTGTCATTTGGCAGAAGGCAGGATACACCCTGGACAGGTTGCCAGTCCATTGCAGGGCAGACAGACAGACATACACATTCACACACACACTCACACCTAGGGGCAATTTTAGCATGTCCAATTGGATATAATTAATCAAATCACCCTAAATATTTTAAAACTAGTAAAATATACTAGTAAAATCTAAATTATATGTACATTATACACAGATTATACATTATATATGCATTGCCAAAAAAGAAAAATCTCAACACTAGTACAGCATTCATGATGACTTAATTGAGTCTCAGATTACTGGCAATAAAGCCTTAACCAGAGTCCCTGAATCATACGCACAGTTGTATGGTGTGAATTTTTTTTTTTACTTTTTTTACTTTTTTTTTCAACATATTGGGGGAAAAACATGAAATATAAAAAATGTCATAACGTATGCAATGTTATGTTCTATTTTGTTTTTTTAATTCAGCAAAGAAACAGTAATTGTGCATTAAAATATGCAGAAGTGTGATCTTCACATGCCATTCGACCAAGGGCACTTAAACTAACTGTGTATAGGACAATATGCATTTTCAAATTAAAATCAGAAAAACGACAAAAATGGAGACACAGTGATATATACACACACACACACACACACATATATTATATATATATTATATTATATTATATTATATTATATATATAATATAATATACAAGTAGTTTAGCATAGATTTTATTTTACATCTCATTTTTAATATATGTAAGGTTTTAGTCAATGTTTTTTCCTTAATCTTTTTTATGAGCTACTACTGATCAGTGGGACTTGAGGACATCTGCTGTGGCACATATAAGGTCATTTTTTAAAGCAGATGCCCAATTACATCATTTCCCAAGAAACCTTGGAGTGAAACTGGGCACGCTTTCCCAAGAGTAGAGCTCAGAACAGATGGTGACTTGTGCCAGTTTAGACCATGGCACTGCTCTTTCGTCTGTTAACACAATTACCCTTTCTCCTCCATTCTACACGAGGGAAAGCATATGCCAAACAGATCAAGTGAAAAAGACAATCTCAGACCCAGCTGCCTCTAAAACGGGTGAAACTAGGATTATGTTACGCTTTAGTCTAAGAAAGTATGTGATTTAAAAAAAATACAAAAGCTTTCAGCAGGAGTTTCACTGTTTGGTCATGGTATACATTTGAATGCAGTTTTGGAAGTGGGCAGTGGTATTCATTTGAGGTTTTACCAACATGATGTACACTTTGGGTAAAAAATATCCACCAAGTATCCCAAGGACACTACAAAGTACGGCAGCCACCTCCAAGGCCATAGTTACAGTCCCTCTGTTCACGCTGTAGACTGTGAAGAAACTGATCCAGGAGATGATGCAGATCATGAGGCTGAATGTAATGCACTTGGCCTCATTGTAATTAGCTGGGAGGTCTTTACCCATGTAGCTAAGGCAGAAGCAAAGAATGCTAAGTAGGGACACATACAGAATCTCTACAAACGCTCCAGGAGACAGAGTGTTACTGCACTCTAGAACAATGCTGTCACAGTACAAGTCATAGTTCTCTGAGGGGAAAGGTGTGTATAGAGCCACATGGAGAACAGCGATGAGGAACTCTACCACAGAAGTGACCAGGATGAACATCTCAGGGCCTTGGTTTTTGGCCCAGGTCTCATAAAACCGGGGAAGCTTAGAGGACCACTTGAATATGCACACCACCTGCAATGAAAGGAAAAAAGAGTTCTACTTGAGAATGGATTAGGCTGAACGCACTAAGAAAAAAAAAAAAACAGATTTAAAACAATTTCCAGGATACACAGGCCGTGTTTTCACTTTTTTTAAACATGCCCTTGCCAACTTCCCATGAAACTATCAGTGCATCACACCTGCTCTGCACAAGTCCCCACTCACAGCGCAAGGGGAGGAGGGGACAGTGAGCGGTGGATTATTCAGTCAGAATGCACTCTTTTTTTGAGAAGTTTGAACATAACATACATATATTTTGTGAATAATTGCTTTGTTTGGCTGTAACCGCTAGTTTAAAACAATGAAATTTATATTTACGGCATTTGCTCTTATGTTGATCATTTTTTTTTACACAGGTGGGCGAAGGTAGTGTTAGGAGTCTTGCCCAAGGACTCTTATTGGCATAGTGTAGGGTGCTTAGCCAGGCAGGGATTGAACCCCAGTCTATAGCATGAAGGGCAGAGGTGTTACCCACTACACCATACAAACCACATGATGTACTGCCTTTACTTTTTATTATAGCAAGCAGTGATTGATAACAGAATCAGTAGTTTCCTTCCTTAAATCTAATCTGAACAAACTGGAAATTATGGTTTTAAAATATTAAGCATTTTGAAGTACTTTAATGTTATGGCTTATAAACAGTTTTGTCCTCCATTTTCTCAGGCTTGAACAGGGAAATGAGTCAGGTTGCAATGATTTCTCTGTTTTGCTGTTGAAGTTGTTCACTTTATCGCTTGCCTCTCTGAGAGCTCCTCTTATAAACTTCACTTGAGCTAATAAAGCAATGGAAGGGTCATTAACATCACATCAGGGTTTTCCCAAGGGGAACTGATGAGGAAGAGTGGAAGAGCTCATGTAAATATTGGTGACAGAACAGACGGCCAGAGTAATGAGATACATTTACTCATTTACATGTACTTCAGTGAAATGGATTTGCACTTCTCTGAGTATTTTCAAGCAATAATACTTTTACTCAAGCATATTTGTGAGGATAGCAATCTATGTTTTACTCACTTCAGCCATTCACACCGAGCTACTAATTCTCTTTTTGGGAGTAATTTCATTCAGTTCTCTTGGTTCACTGCTTTGCTGATTCTTACACTTTTCACTTTTGAGCCTTAGCATTTTATTTTGAACCAAAAGAACCCAAAAAACAGAGTTTGAATAAAAGAATGGCTATCAAACTTCAGTCCCTATGCTGGCAGATGCTGCATGTACTAGGACATTCCTATTGAGTGATATAGGGAACTGAACACTTCAGGAGATTTTTTGGTCTGGCACTTTACTTTTCTTCTACCATGTCCACTCCTCAAAGGCCTAGCCCTCTAATTCAAATGACTTCTCATACCTGGAAGGAGCGGACGGTCACACAGGCCAGGCAGACGGTGAAGCTGAAGAGGAAGAGGGACTGTTTGAGCAGACAGGCTGGCTGGGAGGGTGTGCCGAAGTGACACAGTGTGCAGCAGGATGCTGCGGTCAGGGACAGCAGCATGAGCAGACAGGTCCTGCCCCCGGCAGACTTCACCACTGGGGTGGTCAAGTTGCACAAGAAGAGGACAGCAGTGCCCAGAGTGAGCAACAGTGTCAATGCCAGTAGAACCAGCAGAGCAAGAGACAAGAGAGCATCCCACGGCAGGTAAAGCACCGTTCTGTTCAGACACGCCTCACTCTCAGCTGGAGACCACTGACCCTGCGCACAGGACTGGCAGCTGGTAGATCCTGGTATACATAGTGTGATATATTTATTAGAAACAAATGCTTTCTTCTACTCACTGGACACATGAACTCCACCTAACTTATATGCACACTATATAGGCTGTATAGTCAGGCACCCTCTAACCTATTCATCACTGGTCAGTTTCTGACCAAAGGGCACAGCAATGACAATAACACAAAACATGATCATGGGGTTTACCATGTTCTACCATGACCACTGGTTTGGCCCTGGTATGAGGATATAAGGAATTACAGGTCAGACACTCAAAAGTTTCCAAGAGCGATTCTTTGGTCACAAACTGACCACTGATCAAGAGCTACAGGTTGACTCACGCAAAGTGTGCATGGCAACAAATTAGCTACTGTCTCCAACTGTAAACCCGCAAGGTGGACCTGATGTGGGTATTTCTAATAAAGTAGCTGGTGTAATTGGTTAGTCGAGTAAATGTAAGCAGCCTACAGAGTTTTGTGAATCTTTAAGTCCTGAAAGTTATAATCAGTTCTAGCTTTTAAGGCTGATTATCCAGTGACTACAGTTCCTTATGTAGTAACAAAATTAAACAAATATGTAAGATATGTGGTTTTGAGGGTGAAGAATGGAAGTCTGGTGTAGGATTGAGTAAATGAGCAAGTAATTAAAGTAATGCAATGTGTGCCACCTTGTGGTGAAATCTTGAAGTGCATGTATGACACCGTTATATCACTGTTCCTTGTGTGAACTGTTTGTTTACCTGTCTTGTTGAGGAAAGTGGAAGCAGGGCATGCCATGCATTCAAAACAGCACTTATGCTGTCCGACCTGGAGTTGCCTATGACCGTAGGGGCATTCTGGAGAACACCGTGACTCAGGCACCTAGGTAGACAGAAAGAACCCTTATGTTCATCTAGGATGTTTATAAATTAATCATTTACAACAAAACAAGTAGTCACAATTTTCTGCTTATCCCAGATGCAGTCAATCAGCCAAGACGTTTGGTGTCCAAATTATGCTTCTTTCGTTTTACTAGAGCTAACAAACACTAGAAGTCAATAGTGACCCAAATCGTTTCTGTAAATACATCTCCAGAGCTTCTCTCAACCTGCATCCAGTTCTTCATCAAAGTTGTGCAGACTTGTCGATGTGGTTTTAAACACATTATGAATGAACAAAACTTCACAAGTGTTTTGCTGATTTCCTCCTGCATGGTGTCATTCAGGCATTTGGATGCTACTGGTTATGTTTGCAACTTCTGTTGTTTCTTCTTTAGAAATGATCAATTAATCTTGAATTTTCAAACTGAAGATAAATGTTTAAAAATAGAAATAACACAAATTGTATTTGTGAATGGAATCTTGCATCACTACGCACGTGAAGAGGAGCAGGATTTCGTGAGGGTGGCAGAATTCGACACAACACCTGTTATCTAAAATAGCTGCCCGTAGCTTTCAGCTACCACATTGACAAGTCTGTGCAACATTAATGAAGGCCTGGATGTGGTTTGGGAGCAGTTTTAGGGATGTGTTCACAGAAAGATTTGGGTGACCACTGACTTTTAGTGTTTGTTAACAACATTAGCCTCATAGCACCAGCTCTAAAGTGAAGAAGTACAATTTGGACATCTAATATGGCTAATTGACTGTATCAGGGTTAAGTGGAACACTGGGTAAATTACTAATTACAAAATATTAAATTTTTTTTTTTAGAATTATTCCTTCAAAGGTACTGAAATGAAGTGTTCAGAAATAGTTTTCATTCATTTGACCTGTTTTACTAAAAATTGAAGATTGAAAGAAAAAGAAAAAAGGAAAAGAGAACATACATTGGTTACATCTGAAACATCTCCCGTCCACTGAATCTGAGAAAGGTCCACTTGAAGATAAGGGGGGTCTGGACTGTAGGCACCCACCACTCTGAATGACCATGCTTTCCCCTTCCATGTCCATGTTACTATGTCATATCCTGTGGGTGGGTCTCCATACTTATCAAAATATACTGCAGTGTTTCTGACAGGAAACCGTACTCGCCTTAAACTCTGAAGGAGCTGAGTGGATTAAAGACAAGAGAACAATTAGTAGGAGGCACTAATTTAATTGATTTAATGTGGCACGGAAGTCTATGATTTGGTTGTGTTACTATTTATATTACCAGTTATATGTATACACACAACACGCACACACACACACACACACACGCACACACACACACACACACACACACACACACACACACACACACACACACATATATATATATATATATATATATATATATATATATATCTTCAGTGGTCAGGACCCCCATGGACCCTCACAGAGCAGGTACTATTTGGGTGGTGGATCATTCTCAGCACTGCAGTAACACTGACTGGTGGTGGTGTGATAGTGTGTGTTGCGCTGGTCTGAGTGGATCAGACACAGTACAACAGGGTAAAAGGGGGCTAACAAAGTATGCAGAGAAACAGATGGACCGAAGTCTGTAATTGTAGAACTACAAAGTGCACCTATATAGTAAGGGGAGCTGATAAAACAGACAATGAGCATAGAAACAAAGAGGTGGTTATGATGTTATGCCTGATCAGTGTATGTGTGTATATGTATATATATATATATATATATATACACACGCACATATGTGTATAAAATACATACTGAAATGCAATAAAAATACTGACCTGCCCTGTCTGTACTTCAGTTTTCTCACATTGTCCTGAGTCACACTTGAGGACTGGCCGCAGTGCATGTGCCACTGCGTATACCGCCTTATACACATTAAAAGAAGAGGCGATGTCATAATTCTCCAGAGAGTAGCTTTTAGTTGCCATTGTGTACAGGTCTGTATTTTGCAGGCATGGGACCACCATGTCACTGGAACTGTTCAAAGCGCTCATATCTCTAAGCTTAGACACGGCTTGGTTCTCAAAATCTCGGAACCCAGAAAAGGGTGTGTATTTGACAGACACACCCAGGACATTCCCAATAGTGCTGATTCCTGGAATTCCAGACACCAGGGTGGCCATGGACCAGTCCTCCGTCCCAATCCACACCTTATCAGTTACATTCTGCTCTATCACAAAAGGGAAGAAGCCTTTGGCTATCCTCTTACTGGAGAACACCACTATGGTGTTGACTTTGGTTTTGATGATATTTCTGACCATGTCTCTCATTCGCTGCTGTGTGCCACTGTTAAGGCTCGGTATCAAAGCTTGGTACGCGATGCATATATCATAATCTGATGCTTGCTGCGACAGGCTCAAAACTCCTTGCTGGCCGTATGAATTGTCGCTGCCAAGAAGAGCTACCCAGGTCCAGTTAAATCTTAGCAGGATCTGGATCATGGCGTCAACCTGGTTCTTATCACTGGGGATGGTGCGGAAGAAAGCTGGGTATAACATTTTGTTGCTCAGCATTTCATTGGAAGCTTCGTAAGAGATCTGTTGAAATTTGTGAATAAAACATCAGAGGAAGTAATATAAAAAGATCACACTAAATGTATAACACATATTTCCAAAAATATATTTTGTTGTACACATCCTCTACAGAGAAGAGTTTTTGCCAAATTTAACATATTAGGGGAAAAAAAATTAAACAAAATATAATATGTGCTATAACTTTCATGTTTTATTTTTTCCAACCAGTTAAAATCATAAAATAAATGGAAATTGTGCATTAAAATTTGCAGAACTTGTTCCTATCCGACCTTCCACTGCGATAAGACAACACTATGAGTCTAAAGGAATGTGTAGCTGTCAAGAAGCTGTAACTGAGAAAAGGAAATCTGCACTAGACCCCTTGGGGAAAAAAAGCAAGAAACCGGACTTCTCTTTGGAAGTAATGTAAGGCAGTATGCATGCTACTGAAGCAATGAAAATCTCTTCAAACCATGTCTACAACCATCACTCAGGCCTGGTGGTGGATCAGTGCATTTGAGAATGTATAACAACATCTGGAGTTGGTTATTTGTTCTTGAGTAAACAAACACATTCTAATACATCATGCTCTAACTTCTGGAAAAGGTTCAATTTGAAAGAAATTTGTTCAACAGCAAGATCATGACCCCAAGCACACTGCTGAGAAGATCAAGACATACTTATCGGTTATCAAACAAATAAGCTGTTGAACATTAGATTTCTCAGGTTGCGAGAAGTAGAAAATAACAATCCTTTAAGACTTTTGACTACAAGCACGAAAAAAATATTCCTGTAGATTTCAGTGAAATACTGACAACAAAGAATGGAAGCAGTAATACAGGCAAAGGGTGGACACATTAAATACTGAAAAAAATTAAATGGGTGAGTAATAGCTGTTTTGACTGAAAATGAAATAAATGAAAGGCTCATCTTAGACTTTTGTGTGTGATATTGTATGATATGATATAATATTCAGGCGAAAGGAAGACACTTCTTACATTTTAATGAAAGTTACTGTAATTTTGGACATTTGGACCGCTGAAAAAAACCGTTATGAAGTTGGTTACAGTGGTTACAGTCCTGGTCCCAGAATTTCTGCTCCCAACATACTTAATGCAAATAATGAATGAATTAGGAAGGCCTTCATGAGTTGAAGTTGGGCATGTTAGAGCAGAGACAATAATGTAATATAATATAATATAATATAATATAATATAGGACTCGATCTTGTCTCAATCTCAGAGTAAAGTGGATTTGGAAATTGTTCTTGAGACCAGCCAAATGCCTCTGTCTGAGGTAATTTAAAATTATTTTTTTGCTCATTAATATTAATTATTAGCAGCATTAAATTCAGACAGAATAAAACAGCCCTTTCTCTACTTGTTTAAATAAAATATTTTCACTGTCGGTAGAGGATCTAATGATCCTCTCCACAATGGTTAACTGGGTATTATTTGTTTGTTGATGTTCATTGGCTCCAAAATTCAAGCAGCCCCTGAGCGCAGATCATATCAGAATGTTATTCAACAATAAAAATGAGTTTATGTTGTTCAGTTTATATTTAATTGACATTAGGTGGTGAAGTAAGGACAGAGAGTAACGGTATCATCATTTCCTTCCAAAACTCAAATTTTATTTAATATTATATTTTACATAATATACTAAAATAAATTATTATTTATGAATATATACCATGTGTAATGAATGATAATGTACAATGAACTACAAACCTTTTAATTGTAAAAGGTTTCATTTTTCGCCTTTTTCTTTTTATTTACATATTCTGAAAAATCTTGCTCTGTTCTCTGTCTTCTTGATTTGGACCCAACTACCACAAAGTCTTGGTCTTGACTCATGCCCAGGTCTCAGCCTCGGACTCACATAGTGGTCTTGGCGTCAATGCTATTAAGCTTAGAGATTGCCTTTTCACTGGGTCACTGGGTCATTGAGAGAGCTATATTGGTGAGGTACCTGAGGTAGAAGGAAGGAGCCCAGTGCAGCTGCTGGAGTGAAGGCATAGTCACTGCTGTCAGGCCCAATGACGGCCAATGCCCGGGGCTCCACATCTACACGGTTATACTGCTGGGACAGCAGGTCCACTGTGGCCAGAACACTGGCACGAAGAGAACAAGTATCATATGTCTGGTAGCCTAGAGTGATGCCTGGCAGGAGCTGCTCTTTCCCAGTGCTGTTGTTGATCTCCTCTACAGCATAGCGCAGAGCCTGCACCAAGTGGAAGCCATGCTTGTTGTCTGAACCTCTGGAGAAACCAATAAAGAACAAATGGCAAAGCCCTAAGAAACGATGCATAACACAGTGACAATTAGTCAGCCCTGTAAGATTCCTGGACACTCGATCAGCTGTGCTCAGGATGCAGTCTAATGTAGATAGATGTCACTTCAGCTACAGAGCCTAATCTTCAGTTATCATGCTGCCTGGTGTCTAAACAGTGTACCTTGCCAAAACAACTCTCTCTAACCTGAACCAATCAAATCTATTCTTCATATACAAATGGTTTGACTGGATAAAAGGAAACAGTTTAAACTTGCTCTTATATGAAAAGGCTTAGATTCCAGGACACTGTGTCCAGGAATGGTATTCAGACAACCAAAATCCAGAGAAACTATCCAGAGAAGTCCCGGATGGGTGGCAACACCAATACAGAGCCTTCAGTTTTCGGTGGTAAAACAGCTGATTCTTTCTGTAAGTAGAATGGAATGTCTTACTGTTTACAGTCAGCCATACAGGGAGCAGCTGAGATGGTTTGTCCAGTGTTATGGAGAGGGAACATGCCGTAGATGGTAAAATCTCCTTTAAGCTGGAGCCCGACGCCATAACAGCAGTTCCAGATGCACCCCAGCAGCAGAGTCCTGTACAGCAGCTCTCCCATGCTTCAGCCACACCTGCTCTCCAAAGGCCCCACTCCACACCCGCCTTCTCTTTTTCTACACTCGATTGGAAGCGAGGATTTGCATGCTCGAAAGTGTTAATGTCACTGAAAGATGGATTTGCATTAAGCCATTTGTTTCTCACCATCGTGTTTTCCTGCTAGAGTAAAGAACTGAGTGCATTTAACAAACCATAGAAAAAAAAGAGCATGTTTGGCCTGATTTCTTTGTGGCACTATTACTGTACAAAACTAGTGATACATCTTCAAATAGCCAAAAGTTTTCCCTAAACATTCCAGCAACTAAAACACATAGTCTATGCCAACACATAGTCTTTATATATTACTATTTTGATTAATCAATCAATCACTCAGGAAACAGGAGAGAAAAACATTTGCACCACAGCGTAGGAAGTAGCGGTCAGGTTTTTGACTTTATTGAATATTTCTATATAGACGTGATGGAAACCCTCTGTGGTCCTGAAATGTGATCAATTTCTCCATCCAACCAAATTCTGCTGTTTCCTCAAACTGAAAGGGGTTGAATTACATCCAAATGTATCAGCACTCAGACCGCTGAAGGGCAATTTGCCTGAGCGCCCGAGCATTTACACAGTATTAGGTAAACAACAGACCACAGTCTTGTTTTGTTTTCTGTACCATTACTTCACACCAAAGCAGCCGATAGGTACGACAGGCAAATCCATGTAAAGCACTGGATCAGTGGGAGGGTTTCAAATGTCCATAAATCATTAATAAATGGCATTTATGGGGTACGAGATTAAAAAAAAGACTCTGTAGTAGAACCTACTGAACAACTCTACTTTTGGCTTCCTGAATGCTGAACTGCATCATTTCACACCAGCAGCATCGAGCACATTCCGCTGGGGAAAGTCCAGAGACATTTATGCCTTTGTTTTCCTTTCCATGTCAGTTGTGTGATGCCTCTTTAAAATATACATTATCTTTTTTAGCAATAATAAAAGCTCATTAAAGACAGATCTTCTTAAGATAACTGACAACATGTTAGGCACAGTTTAACAGTTACAAAGAAATTGACTAAATGACCCTACATAATTGGCAGGATTTGAAACAATTCAGTTTCATATAACACACAATGCAGTTTTGCAAGGATTATTAGACTAATGTATGCTTATACTGATATATTCAAATATATAGTCATAGGCAAAAGTGAATAACCCTGAACAAATCACATGCTTACAAACTTAAACATGGCATTTTTCTGCAGTTTTAGTGTCCAAATTTATTTGCCTAGTTGAACATATTGGAAAAACATAAAACATACCCCCCCCAATATGTTTAATTCAGTAAATAAACTGTAACTTAAAATGTACAGGAGTGTTGTGTTCTTTCCAATCTTGGTCCTAAAGTATCCCCTGCCCTGCACATTTAGTGTTTAACTTGCTCCCAACACACCTGATCCAACTAATCAGCTATTTAACAAAAGCCCTTCCTTAGTTAAAGTGGGTGTTTTAGAACAAGAAAACACACACAAAAAAACTAGGGGTTCTCCAGAACTTAATCTGTGCTGTAGAGTGTGTTAACTTATTTTCACTTAGAAAATCAACAAAACTTTTATTTTGAAGGGGGTGCCCAAACGTTTGCATATGACTATTACAAATATTAGAACAATATTTGAAAAGACAGCAAAATATATTTATTGTAAATCATCATATTTTTAGTTGACCATAATTATCTAACAGCATTATTTAAACTCTGCACGGCAAAAACTAAAAGAAGGGCAAGGAAGACGTAATGATAGTGTATCAATGATGATTTATTCCGTGATTATTAAGCAGAAGATACAAAATATGGAATGATTCATTTCCATAAATTAAAAAAGGCAACAGTGATTGAGAATCTCCACATAATTCCGCACGCAGTGATAACAGCAAGCACTAAAAGAAGCCCTTTTTTTCCAAACGTAATATAATACATACAAGAGAAAATCAATAAGAGTTACCTTTTTCTTACATGTAGTCCTGGTAAATTACATGAAAACAAAGGACAGGTTGTATATTTCTAAAGAAACTATATTCCCAAATTTACATTTCAACCAAACTAACAAAAACCTGAGGACCGACATGAATATGGCTTTCTTGTTTAAAAAGGAGACTCAATTTCACTTCATTGTAGCACATTTTATATGTACATTGATTCTTTGATTTAGTCTAGGATCAGATTTGAACATTAGTTATGACAGAGTCAAAGGTGCTTAAATCATCCTTTGTTTTTAAAAAGCACATATATAGAAAGAAATCTAATAAGGCAACAGAGAGATATAAAGTAGAGTTGTAGGCACATGGGTTTGGGCTTACTATTGTTTTGACATCACCTCTCAAAACACTGAGAGGAGCTCAAATGAGCTCCTGCATTACAGGTCAAATAAGAACAGCAATAAGGGACGCTCACCAAGTATTCGGTATATAGGGAAAAAAGCCGGATAACCACACGACCACATTTAAAGACAGTCCAACATAGCATATTGCATAGTTCTTAATGCACAGTGTCACCATTGTTTATGTTGTGCAATGTTGTCTACTCCAAATTTTGAGAGTATGAACTCAGAGTTCCTGAGCACCATGAAACTCCTGGACAGATATTCTTGGGAAGCGCACTGCATGGCTGAACTATTGTTGAAGAACTCATTTCTCAAACATATTCCAGATTTCAGAGTAACCTTTCCACGATACTGTTTTTTTTTTTTTAAATTAGCCAACAATCTAGTGTTGAATGGAAAATGTACCATATAAATAAGTCCAATATTACTGACCAAAAGAAACAAATAAATGGTCATCATTAAAAAATCTGTATCTCTAAAATGGTAAAAGAATATTCTAAAAGCTGCCCTATGTAAGTTTTGGGGATTTGGAGACCTCTCTGGTGGAAATGTGTAATTGCACACAACATTAGTGTTTCTTTTTCATTCCAACTCAGAAAAGGTACTTCTACATAGTGCAGCTTTAACTTGAACGTATGTTACTATAATGAGATTTTACTCCAAATAATTTTGGACTATTTTTATTGTTCCACTTATCATGAAACGTTCACACAATGTAAGATGAGTTACGAGGTTTTGGTATGACAGCAACAAAATAAAATACTGCCTCTTAGTAAATGACCAACATAGTGATTATGTAATTATTTAAAATCATTATTATTGGAAGAATAAAAAACTGATTAACACATTTCATTAAATAACCATCAAATACTTCCCAATCGGTTGCCTCTTAACTGTAGTGAGTGTTATCTGAGGATGTGGTATATATTGCAGGTTTGAAGAGTGAGCTGTGTGCAAGCCGGTGAGGGAGCCATGCTGTGGCAGTGCTGATGAGGAGGCCGCAGCTCCAGTAGAATGATCCTTTAAGAGTGCTTTAAGCTGGTTCAGTCGACCCAGACTGGGACAGCAAATACAGCACCAACGCTTTCAGCCCTGCAAGCCACAGAGACGCCGTGGAAGAGGAGAGAGTCAGAGATTTACACGACCACCTGGCCCACTTTTTGAAATAAGAGGCATGTGGTGGAGATGGTCATCAACTGACCTCTTCATATACTTCTGTCTCTCCATCCTTCTCTCTGCCCCTCTCTCCTTCTCTCTCTCCACCCATCTCTCCCTCTATTTCTTTACCTGTCTCTCCAGGTATGTCTACATCCCTCTCTGCACCTCTGTCTCCATCCTTCTCTCCACTGCTCTCTCCGCTCCTCTCTCCATCTCTGTCTCCGTCCCTCTCGCTGTCTCTGTCCAGCTCGTCCTGCATGTCGTCTGTGTTTCCTGAGTCGCTGCTGGCCACAGAGCTGAAGGAGGGTGAGTGTCTGCAGAAGAGAGTAACCAGACAAGAACTCTTTCAACACCAGAACTTCACAGTTTACTCAAATAACCTAAAAACATTATCAAAACTTTTTATATTATTAAAACCCAATAACTAAAGAGTGGGCCTTAAAAGGGCCATACTTGATGCTTTTAATTTAAGTGTGCTTATCATGTTTGTGTTAATAACCATATCTCATTTTACAACTTTATTTACTGTAAAAGTAAGAGGTATTTCTCCACTTTTTCAAACATTCTGTATAACTTCATCATTAAGATGTACACAGAGTCATTCAGAGTGGTTTGATGTGAAATGCTCCATTACAGAGAAACTAAAAGTCATAACTGTTCACAGTGGCTGTGATAGGAACCACAAATCTGAAGCGTTTACTGCCTCTAAAAGCTAATATATGCAAATACTCTGTTCTGATTGGCTGCCCTGCATTGTGCCTCATTCAAAGACTGAAATGTTTGAAAAAGACCTTCAGTTTAGGCTGAAATTTTCACAGAACATTTCTTTTCTAGATGCTCTGCAGGGATGCAGTGGTCCACTGCCCAGCACAAGACTGCCTGTGGTAACAACACTCCTTAACACTTTAAGGTGTATGGGTGGAAGTAAACTGAATGGGCGGTCATATGTGAATACAGTTATGGTTATGACATCACAACCCTGACAAATTCAATTGGGCTTCGTTTGTATTTAAGTTTTTCCCTATATGAACTGCAGGGACCGTGAGTAAATACAGTTCATAACATTAATGTTTACATCCCATGTGTCAAGCGCAAGACACGCCAGTGGCACAATCCTATTCGGCCCGCAAAAATTATTTACATTTTTTTTGTATTAATATTAACTAATTTCACTATGTGCTGCACTACAGTTCCCAGCAGGCACTGCAAAGTAAAGTGAGCTTCCACCCCCTCGCCAACATCAATCTATGGGACTGCACCACCAAATCAAAACACATAGAGGCCAGGTGTCTAGTTTATGTGAATGGGCAGTTTTAAAAAACCTAATGTACACTGGGAACATTTAAAGAGGTTTAACAGTTCTCTGCAGCTAATGTAGTCAAAAGTTTCAACAAAACAATTTGTTTTTATCAAAAATTATTTTAGAATTTTTTTGCCATCGTAATTTGCATATATTTTGAATAAACAGTGGCCAGTTGGGATC